CCGACAACTTGGGTTTTAAAGCGGGGGGGGGGGGGGGGATGAGAAGAGAAGGAAACATACTTTAAATTGTCCTGCCCCACCCATGGCACGAGGAGGCTTCGGTGAATTAATATAAGTTTTGAGCTGCCTTGAGGATGGTGCCATAGAAATTGAGCTTAGTTCCCCAACTGTTGGAATATAGGATACCTTCCCCCCCACCTCTACTCCCACCCTCAAATGTATTGCACCCATACTAACCCTCAGCGGGCAGGATTATGCTCATACATTATTCACCAGAATTTAAATTAACACTGCCAATTCCAATAATTATTTACCCTGCTGTAACTGTAGATGATAGGGAACATTCTTTCTTTCAAACAAAAAACCATATTGTGGAAGAGAGAAAGCTACTGACTTTAAAAAGAGAGGGGAACACTCTGGTCTCACCTACCTCCATTTCCCTACTTTCCTTAGCTTTGTGATTTCAAAACATAGACCTTAACAGGAAATTCATTGAGGAAGTATAAATTTTTAAGTAAATGTTTGGTCATCCCTAAGAAGGGCTGATCATAAGCACCTGCTGACCGGACCCATTTCCCACCTGAAACAAGGTTTAAACTGGATTTAGTTTCCACCGTCTTGGTGGTGTGGATACTGTTCTGAAGGGACTGTGTAGCCAGATTTTGAGTCAGTTCTGGCCTCCCACCTGTCTTTCAACTAGCATAAAAATGAACATTTCCCTTCCTCCGCCTGTGCTATTGGGCATTTGATGTTCTTTTTGAGGCCTGTTTGCTTGAATAACACGAGAGATGGTAAAAGCGGCGAGGAGTCCTGTGGCACCTTATAGACTAACTGAAGTGTAGGAGCATAAGCTTTCATGGGCAAAGACCCACTTCATCAGATGCAACGAGAGATGGTAGGATCTTACATGCTTACTTTCTGTACCTCAGAATATTATTGGGAGCATGATATGCCTGTTTCTTGGCTTCACTCTGTGTGATGAGGCCAAGCACATGCAGGTAGTTCTTAACATAGGGTTAATTGACCTAAATAAATCAAAATCAGATGTGCATTCTTGAGTGGAACTCAGAGGCTTGGATATTCTTTCCCTCTTGCTGGTACATCTGAGTGAGTTCAGCAGCTTGTGTATTTTGGCACTCAGGCCTGACCAGGAACAGAAGGCAAACTGTTTGGCTTGTTTTGTCTGTCTCATGGATCTGTCTTGCAGTCCTGTTTCATTTTTACACTTCAGTGGCATGTCAGGAGGGAAGCAGATATTAAACACTGTGTTTACATGTTGTGGTGTTAAGTCACGTTCCAGTAATTACAGCTGCTAATAGCAATGACATCCTGGGTACCATCTCTTGGAGTTGGAAGTATTCTCGATTGGAGTGGCTACTTTGTCTAGAAGAGCTTTCTACAGGATGGAACAAGATTCAAAGTCCTGTGGGTGATGATTGCATATTGATAAGTTGTTGCTTATTTCCTTTTATTTCACAGTCAGCAGGAGGGAGAAAATGAAAGCAGGCTGCAGCATTGTGGATAAGCCAGAAGGAGCAGGAGGTAAGGAAGTGTATACAATATGACATTCGACATGGTGAGAATCCTTAAAAACTTAATTTTCATTTATGCTAAGAATCCTTTACATGATTCTGACATTGTAGAAGCCCCTGTCCCGGAGCTGAGTGTGGATGGGAATCAGACCACCAACGTTAATATCAAGCAGGTCTATAATAACGTGGTAGGGGATGTCCTGTGCGGTTTGGATTTAGAGTCACCTAGAGCAGTTACTGGGTTAAGACTTGAATACATTTTCCTATAGGTACTTTACATGCACGGATCGTGATCTTTGACCTTGATTTGTGTCCTACTATGGCTTGTAGGTGTTTTCAGGCCCAATTATTATCTGATATGGTGGTAACACAGATGTCATCCATCCATGGCATGGTTTGGCCTAGCACAATTCTTACAAACCCCCCAAATTACCCTGTCCACAATAAGCTAGGAAACCCTGCAACAATAGCTATGTTGGAAAACTGTTCTAGCCCAACTAAATTTGCTAGTCATTCATGAGCACCTGTTAGCAGGACTGAAGGTAATGTAGATAGAGATTTTCTTTAAAGACTGGAGAGCTAACTGGATTCATTGAAAATTAGGCCTCATTTAGATATCTGTGGGTTTAGGTGTCTGATTTTAGAATCCCAAGTTAAAATATGTGGCCAAAATGTTTGGTGCGTAATAGGGATGTTAAATTTCAATTATTTCACTAATTGAATAATCGATGCAAATTGCATCGCCTATTCAATTAGTTGAAAAGGATACTTCCGTTACACTGGAAAGGTGCTTCAAAGGTACTTCAAAACAGCAAGGGCTGTTGCTACACTTTAAAAGTGAAAGCATTGCAGGGAGCACTGGGCCAGCAGGGGTCTCAAGCAGTCCCCCACTGGCCCCATGCACCCTGTGGCATTTCAAAGCAGCAGCGCCGCATGGAGCCAGGGGTCAGCTGGGGACTCTGAGTCCCCAGCTGACCCCAGGGCTCCATGCGGCGCTGCTGCTTTGAAACGCCATGGGGAGCCCAGTGTCAGGCTCCACGCGGCATTTCAGCTTTGACAGCGACACATGCAGCCCGGGCTCCCAATTGGCCCTGGGTTGCATGCGGCATTTCAAAGCATCGGTGCCACATGGAGCCTGGGGTCTGGCCCCAGGCTTCACATGGCACTGCTGCTTGGAAGCAGTCCCTTGTCTCCTTCCCTCCCCCTTGCTGCCTCTTTCTGATAGAGGATAGTCGACTAGTCGTTCACATCCCTATTGCTTATTTGATAATCGACTAGTCATTCGCATCCCTAGTGTGTAAAGGGGCCTCTTTTCTGGGTCTTCTAATGCTTTTTTATCTATAGGCCCTGCTTCTATTTGTATCAGTGTTGATTTTTCTCATTTTTTTCTCAAGGAAGTAGGCAGTATTGCATTGTTATAGCAAGGGAACTGGTGGTCGGGACTCCTGGGTTCTAATCTGCAGTAGCATCTAGGGACCATAACCAAAATCACAGTCCCATTCTGCTAGATACCATTTAGCCACAGTGAAAGGCAGCCACTGCCTCAGAGACCTTACAATTGCACAGCTCTGTTTTTCAAGCTTTGTATTCTTTTGTTTTGATAGCTTTTAATTCTTTCCCTCTGTTACTTTGGGTTCTTCTCAAGGCTATCACTTCCCGGAATGGGCCTACAAAACTGAATCGAGCCCTGGCTCCCGTCAGATCCAGCTGTGGCACTTCATTCTGGAGCTGCTGCAGAAGGAGGAGTTCCGCCACGTCATCGCCTGGCAGCAGGGCGAATACGGGGAATTTGTGATCAAGGATCCAGATGAAGTGGCCCGTCTGTGGGGCCGGAGGAAATGCAAACCGCAGATGAACTACGACAAGCTGAGCCGGGCCCTCAGGTGAATGAAAGGATACTTGAAAACAATTATTTGCGAGGGTGAAATAGAATAGGGTGGATGGGGAAGGATGACTGGAAGATATGGTTGATTCATGTAAACAGTTGATTGTGGAAATATTTCCTCTCTACTTTGGAGAACTTTGGCTCTGAAGTTGAAGTCCATAGTGTGTGACTGTTTGGTTTATTCAGTTATATTTGGAAAACATGAGGAGGAAATAGCCACGTGGTTGCCAGAGAGTTGTGACATGACAGCAGATTTGTCCTCTAATCAGATGTGGGATGTAACGACAAATTTGCATTTATAATTTGAAACTCATTGTAATCTGGATTATTTACTTCTCCTGAGCTTTCCTGAGTCTCTCCTCTTCCTCCAGTTCTGAGGCATGCTTGAGCAATACAGGTGTTGCAGGAAAATATTGGCTTATTCCATCAGTGATAACATTTCTGAGAAAGCAACTCCCTTGTTTAAGACCAGTTCCTACTTGTACAGAATTAGAGGGAAGAGACACGGGTTTATGGTTTTTACTTGAACCCATGATCAGGTGTTTTACAACAGTTGTATTTTCCTTATTAGCCTAGCACTTGTATATACAAACATAAGTAACAGCACAGTGAGATCCTGGTCTCTGACTTGGCCCTGTGGGTGCTACAGTAACACAAATAATAAACAACAAGGATTGTCCAACTCCTTAGTGTTTTTCTGCACCTCTTGCAGCAGTAAATTCAGCTGTGCTGCTTTAGGGTTCAGCTCTAACCTGCTAAGAGCTGCTAACATCATAGAAGTGTGCAACAGAGGGTCAGTGTTCCCTATAATTGGGCACATGGGTCAAATGCTACCCAGCTGATAGAGCAGTGTTTTTCAACCTTTTTTTTTATAAAATACCCCTTTTAAAAAAAATTGTAAGTACCCCCTGTACCTACAGTTTTCAGACACACACACAATTTTTTTCTACCATTGCAACACATTTGTTTTAACAACTTAATCGTAGCCAGGCAGGTGATGAAATTTTTGGGTGTAAAAAGTACAAAAATAATAGTGCTGTAAAACTTAAAACCAAAATTCAGTTTTCTCTAAATTTCAGTTGTGTTAATGTACCCCCGCAGGCTTCTCTCGAGTACCCCTAAGGGTACTCATACCACTGCTTGAGAAACACTGTGATAGAGCACTCACGGCCAGCAGCATCTGTTTCTACCAGTGGTGCACATCTGCACATGCCTCTGTGCACATAAAATAATTTATTCCACACATGGATGGGAAAAAAAAGTGAGAATGTTACCAAGGATAGAATGTGGCCAGTGGTGTAATTTCGTTTAGTGGTGGTGGGTACAGTGGCAGAGGTTGATCAGTTTTCACTGTGCACTTCTGAATCTGCTAGTAAAGTTCTCAGTTACCTTTTCTCCTTGCTAAAGTAAATCCTAATTCTTGAAATTTTTCCCCATGTAACCTTCACCAGAGCACCAGCCAATTTTATTTACGCCCTTTCAGAGTCTCTGCTATATAGTTTGATGGGGGAAGAAGCTCAAAATAGGCCCAGTCTTGTTGACTAGGGAAGTGTAGCCTGGTTAGATCTGTTGTCATAAAAATGACTCTGGGCTCCATTCTGAGAAGTTGTGGTGTTACCAACCTCACTAATAATATGGGCCTCGCTGTCATGTGCCCTCTGATCCCTTCTGGGCAGGGCAGGCAAAGATAAACAAGGCAGCAAACATAACAGACGCATAATGGAACAGGAAGGAAACAATAAATTGAATAACACCAACGCTGCAATTGGTGTATGGCCCTGGAAAAAGCTCCACCTGTGTGATCTGGCCATGCCTTGGTTCCTCTGTCACGTTCGGAACTTCAGGGAGATTAATCAGCAGTGCAGGTACAAGCAACCACCTCCAGTAGGAAGCCTTTGGCTTCCCACCCCCCTCCCTGTCCTCCAGCTGCTTGATTTCTTGCCATCTGTGCAATCACCAAGTGCTGACAATCCAGGGTTTTAAATGAAAAGGGGTGTGGGTGTGTTTCAATGTACTGGTGATATCTATCTGGTGAGCTAAGGGTGTGATTCCCAGTTTGTGTTGCTATGCACTAGCTGGCTAACAACAGTCGTGTAGCCATGGGAGCGCAGGCAGCAGGTCTGAGTGCAAATCCACTTGGACCCTGTCGGTACATACTTGGCTTGGCTACCCCACACAGACGCTTGTGGGTGCTGCCACGGCAATGCTTCTCTTTAGGGTGCTACCTTGAGATCCAGCACATGTCGACGCACGCTGGGAATCGAACCCCGATCCCAACGAGCAATTTTTGCCCTGGTGCAAGCTGGCATGGCTTGGCTCCCATTGGGATTACAGGGGGGAGGCAGGGCAATAGCAGCTCTGTGTATTTGTAGTCCTCTTCAGCTGTAGCACCCATCAGCATTTTACAAAGGAGGATGTGCATTGCTATTCCTGATACACTGGTGGGGAAATCAGACCGCCGAGGGGAAATCAGTCACAAACAGTTCAGGGGTAGAGCGCAGAATAGAATCCAGGTGTTCTGAATGCCTGTCCAGGGCCTCAGCCTCCCCACCATGTGGTCTTCTATTGTAGCCAAGAAGCTAGAAATGAAAAGGACCCTTGAGGGCATCTCCTCACTGTCTAACTGTACAGTGTCCCTTTCAACAGCAGTTCCACTAAGCCCCTGAAGCTTAGTGGTCCTGTACGCTTTCAGAGTGGGAGCTTTACTTGAATACAGACTCTTACGGTCACATTCCTTCCCGTTCTCGATTGTTCATTGGCCCTGTGGCACCTGCAGCTACTGTGTAGGTGGAATCGTAGCTGTGCAAAATACTATTTGGCTGTGTTTAATGGAATCCAGTGGTTAGAAATGAACAGCCAGTACTGTGTGCCTGGCCACCTCTCTGGGGGGCTGCCAGCGTGTCCTCTGGGAACCACAGTACAGGAATTCCTGTGTTAGAAGACAATGTCACGGTTTGGGAGGCCAGGTGGAGAGGGCACTGTTGATGGTTTTATTCCTAGCTCTGCCACTGGCTTGCTGTATGACCTTGGGCAAGTCACTTTGTTTCCTCATCTGTAAAAGGAGGCTATTGATACCGACCTTCATAGTGTGCTTTGAAATCAGTGGCTGAAAAGAGCTATCCGCTAGGGATGTAAACTCCTGTTTAACTGGACTGGGGCAGGCGGGGGCTGCTCCAGGTGGGCTGCTTCTGCACAGGCTCCCAGGCTGGGAGTCAGCAGCCTCATGGTCTTGGGTAATGGTTAACTGTTATCTGGTTACCCATTCACATCCCTATTATAGACGAGCTAGCAATTATTCTTTGGAAACTTTTTCTGACAACCACCTCAGTTTTCCCATGCTTATTGTTATCCTTGTTCTCTGAGTAGCTTTGTTTCTTTGTAGACGGTTGAAACTTGCACATAGCAGAAGGGAGGCCGTCTGTAGTGTGGTTTTTAAGCAATAGACATAAGCTGTATTGCTTCCGACTAGCAGAGCTTTTGATAGTTTTTTTTTTATATATTTTGGCAGATATCACTATAACAAGAGGATTCTTCACAAGACAAAAGGCAAAAGGTTTACCTACAAGTTCAACTTCAACAAGCTGGTGATGCCCAACTATCCGTTTATTAATATCCGGCCCAATGGTAAGCTGGACATGGAGTTCCTGTCAAATCCTAAGGAGTGTGCATGGATGGGCTGTAGCCTGCCTATAATGCAGACAATGGGTAAGGGGAGGGGGCGGGGGCAAGCTAAAATCATACCGAGTGATCTGCACAGATTCGTTCCACAATCTATTTGCCCAGGCTGGCGTCTTTCAAGAAATCAGTGCTAATATGATGAGAATGCCAGTAGTAGCTGTAAAAAAGTTTTCTGTTCATTCCCTCTGGGGCACCTGGCATTAGCCATGGTGGGAAGACAGGACCTTGGGCTAGGTGAACCTTTGGTCTGACCCAGAATAGCTATGCTGATGCTCTTAAACTAGTGTGCATTTCTCCATTTGCCCCAAGCCTTTTGGTAGCAGCAAGCAGACAAGCTGAAGCCCTTTGGGCAGTTGATTGAAGATGGCTCATTTGGTTGTCTGCATTGGATGTTTGGGGGCAGGGGGGAGTTGCTTTGCTCGTCATCTATTTGGTTGTGGTGTCCCTCTGGTAATAGAAGGCATCGAGTATATTGCAGGGACCTTGTCCTACGTGCTTGCTGAGCACCAATCTGTTTATGGTCCCGTATCAACGTGACCTTTCCTGTTACGATGTCCAGAGGTCTCCAGGACTTGGTGCATGTAAATGTTATCAAAATGTTCACAGCCTAAAGACAGCGATAAAGAGCTCCCTGCACTCCCAAAGAGCAGTTAAACCAGCTCTTAAGCTGACGGCAGCCTTTGATTGCTCTGTTCCTGCCCCTTTTATGTCAAGCTGAACAATTCATGGCTAAATTGCTCTGGCTTTCAGGGGAATTCACTAGTGAATGCAGAACAGAGCAGTTTCCAGTGGTGGGTTTTGACTGGCTTGTGAGCCGTGAACTCCCGAACTCTTGTGATGACCCAAATCCACAGTGGTTTACAGGCTAGCCACAAGGTGCTTAGGCAGGAAGCATCGGTGTTGGCCATTTGGCTATTCAGCTCTTGCCACTGAGTCAATAATTTCTGAGTGTAAATTCCACCCCAGGGTTTGGGCCAAGGCTACAATTATTCGGTCAGAGGGTCCATCCATCTCGAGTTCCATTCTGGTGGGGTTACGTGGTGGAATCTAGGAGCCTGTGACCAGCCTTATATGATTGAAGGTTAGCTCAGGAAAGGTAGAAACCCAGGGAAAGAATAAGTGTGAATGTTGAAGGCGTCTGTGTCTCTAAACAGCTTCCACACTCCTCAGGGAGGATCACGTTGAGCATGACGAGTGAGATGCTGGGGGGAGCTATTCTGTTCAGGTCCGTGACTGCAAAACTCAAAGCTGCAAAGAGTTGAACCCCATGGCTGGCCACATTCAGAGCGGCAGCGACAGGGCTCACCTCCTCACGAAGGCCTGACGAATGGCTGAAGATGAATTTTACAGAAAGGAAAGGGGATCGGTGTTTGTGGGGACTGCTCTGCCCCACTGTTGTATTTTATTCTTAGATGACTGGGGCACTGTAAAATATCTAGATGGATCCTGCCACTGTGCATCTGACTCATCATTTGACTCTGAGGCTGCCCAGTGTTATTTTAATCATGAAAGGCCAGAATTGTGGTTTCAAAGAGCCTGTCCTTTAAGAAAACCTCCACCCAAGGGTTAGGAGACAGCAGAGGAGTAGAAATCTCCGGTGAAGTTGGGTGATTTTCCCCCCCATGGGAGAAATGTTGCGTGGAGGGGGAAAACGTATTTTCCAGGACCCCTGAAAAGCATGAGGGATATAAAATCTAGTGTGAAGCTGCACTGCAGCTCTATAATTACTGCAGCAACAAGTCTGAGCAGTTCTGCCTCAATATTGCTCACTACTGCTCCTTTTCCCTGTTTGCCGCCACTCCCTCCTGTCCCTGGGGCATGCATTTAAAAAAAAAAAAAGGTTTGGAGAATTGGAATGCATCTGTCTAATTACAACCTGTTTTCTTTCCTCCTGGCTGGGAGTGGGGGTGGGGAATATTAAACCTGTTTGGGGCTCTGGGCTCTGATTTTCCCCCCCCCCCCGGGGTCGAGGTGCTTAAGTCTCTGAGACGAGAGCGGGGTCAAGGCCGCATGAATCAGGGTTCTGGTAGCTGTAGTAAATCCTGAGTGCTCGTGTGGTCTTGAGCACTCAGATGGGGCTTGTCTGAAACACTGGGCAAAAGGAAGCTACCTGAGGAGTTGTATTACTGGGGAGAACATCTGAGATCGAACCTCTTCTGTTCTAGGGATGTAAAAATCCCATTTAATCAGTTAACCAATTAAGCATTACATTTAACTGGTTAACTGCTTAAATAGGGGCGGGTGGAGGGCTGGTGTGACTCCCACAGGGTGGCACAGCGAGGCCCACCAAGCTGGGGCAACCCCCTGCCCACAGTGAGCCGGCCAGATGGAAGCCACTCCAGCTGGGCTGGTGCACCCCCGGTGGTGCGGTGAGCCTGGCTGGGCTAGAGCGCGCCCCCCCACAGCACAGGTGGGGAGCTGCTCTGGCCAGGCCAAGCCCGCCATACTGTGGGCAGGCGGCAGGCTGCCTGGGCCCTGCCAGGCCAGCAGATAACCAACAGGCATCACCTGGTAACCACTGACATCCCTATTCCATTTTAGAAAGGCACAAACGGGTGGGTTTTGAAGTTCCTATGAGAATTGGAGCTTTATCCGTGTAGTGTGAGTAGCTTCAGTAAAACTATTGCAGGACGTGTGTCCTGCACTCTGCCTCCTCAGAAAGCCTCTCTGTTAAACGGGAGAGACAGAAAGGGCAGGGGAAACGTTTGGCTCTGAAAATCAGCGATTAGTGGACCGTGCTGAACACCCTGAAGAAGAGCTTTGTGTAAGCTTGAAAATGTCACCCACAGAAGTTGGTCCAGTAAATGGGTGAGGAGTATTACCTCACCCAGCTTGTCTCTCTCAAGCTGAGAGATGGGCTACTTTGGGCGCCAAAGGAGACGATTCAGCTCCAAAAGTGATGAGATTTTGAGGCAGGCAGCGGTGATTGAGGATTTGGAGGTGTGGGGGAGGGAAATAGAGAGCCAGCTTGTTCCTGACGATCACCTGTTGCACTGCGGAGCGTGTATGGTAATTGCACGTTCTGTTTTTAAGCACAGAAAGGTGCAGCTCTCACTTGTGACACTTTCCTCCTTGGTCCTGTGGGTTCCTAACGCTCCTTTCTCGTTCTCTCCTTTGTCTCAGGTGGTGTCCCACAGAGCGCCCCGCCTGTCCCCACTTCCTCCCGCTTCCATTTCCCACCCTTGGACAGCCACTCTCCCACCGAGGATGCCCAGCCCAGCCGGTTCTCCAGCGGATCTCTGCTGCCTTCCAGCCAGGAGCCTCTGAACGACAGCGGGGACAGGAAGCCCGACATGCCAGAGCTGGAGGACGTCTCGTCTGACTGGCGACGTGGGGTGGATCTCATGGCTGCTCGGAACGCGGTGGGCGCCAGCAGCATCAATAATCAGAAACGCAAGCCGGAGGTCATGCTGCCTCTCTTCACAAGGCCTGGGCTCTACCCGGATCCACACAGCCCTTTCGCCGTGTCTCCTCTGCCAGGGCGTGGTGGGGTCTTAAATGTCCCCATCTCACCGGCGCTGTCCCTGACTCCAACCCTCTTCTCCTACAGCCCCTCGCCCGGTCTCAGCCCCTTCACAGGGAGCAGCTGCTTCTCTTTCAACCCTGAGGAAATGAAACACTACCTGCATTCACAAGCCTGCTCGGTCTTCAACTACCACCTGAGCCCGCGGACTTTCCCTCGCTATCCGGGGCTCATGGTTCCACCACTACAGTGCCAGATGCATCCCGAAGAGCAGCCCCAGTTCCCGATCAAGCTGCAGCCCCCTCCGGTGGGGCGTAAGAACAGAGAGAGACTGGAAAGCACTGGAGAGGCGGCTGCCCCTCAGCTAGCTCCTGCTTCCCCCCGAGTGAAGGTTGAGCCCATGGTGGAGAAGGAGCCTGAGAGTGAAGAGCCACCAGCCAAAGGGAAGGACAAAAGTGAGAAAGAGGAAGGGCCTGGCATGGAAATGCCAAACACCAGCCTGGAAGGGGGGCGAGGGGCTATATTTGCCAGGCCAGCTGCCCCGTCCTGGCCCTCAGCACCACCAGCACCGACCCCAATGAACCTCCCCCCTGAAGAATCCCAGGGGCAAGTGGAAGGAGGTGGAGAGAAGCCATCCAGAGAGCCAGCGGGAGACCCCGGGGCGCAGGAAAAGAGAGAGGATGCCCTGATGCCGCCGAAACTGCGTCTCAAACGTCGTTGGAACGGTGACCGGCAGGCAGACGCCCCGGAGGAGCACCAGAATGGGAAGCTCCACTGGAACGGCATGCTGGGGGCCCCGCACCTCATCCCTGCGCCCAAGGCAGTGACAGCCACGGCTGCGTCGGACACCTAGGAACGAACTGGAAAGCGCTACAGTCCCTATGTACCAGAATCCATGTATTTATGTAGCAAGGTTGCGTGGTGGGGGAGGGGGCGGGGAGGGAGACTACAATGGTTTGATAATTCTAGAAACTAGGATTTGGGGGAGGGGGGGTGTCGGGTCATTTTAATTGGTTTACTCGCAGGTGAGACTCCGCTTGTCCTAGCTAGGAGAGAGGTGCTAACTCTTCTGTGCATGAGGTGGAGACCTTGCATAAACTTCAGACAGACCAAGCCACCCTCTCCAGCGAGGCTTTTATGAACTCCTAATCAACTTTGTTCTCTAGTATTTATAGAAGCAGGAATCTGAATAGAGTTCCTTTTTATGGAGTCAGGTGCAGCGACGGAAAAAGATCTAACAGTTCCGTCTGAGGTGCGACTCTCGCGCGGCATCATGAGCCGCCGCTCTTTCCAGCGGCTTTGGCAGCCGGGAATGTTGCACTGTCTTTCAATTGAAACCGAGCTTGCAGAAAGACAAACACACAGAAACAACACAGCTTGGCACCCGGAGGAGGAAGCTGCTGAAAACTCAGCAGTCGGTAGTTTTTGAGTCAAGCTGTACTTCTGACAAACAACTCATTAGGACTTGAAGACGCAATGGTCGTTCTTTCAGCCTTCTTGAAATATTGAAAAAGCCATGAGCAATTGTCAAACCTTTCAGGGAAGGAAGGTCGTGGGGTGGGGGAAAATAACCTAATGCCTTTAATAGAATGCATTAAGATGTACCCTAGTTTTTTTTTTTTTCCTAATAGTATGGGTGGGGTGGGGATGTGATTGGAAGATTAACCCTCTAATTTGATTGTGGTGAGTTCATAGAAAAGGAATGAGGAGAGCTTTGTTCAATCTACTCCTTGTATTGTTTGGTTCCCCTATCACTTTGAGTCATGCCTTAACTATATAGATACACTTTATGTGATCAGGGCCTGTTGACAGAAGAAGCTTGTATCTCGACTGAGGCTGGGTTTCCATTTGGTGTTGGGGGCTGTCTTGCTTCCCATGCCATGGGGAGGAAAATGGTTGGATGGATTGCGATGGGTGTGGATATAAAGGATTGTGGGGAGGGACGAGAGTAGCTCAGGGAGGCACTGAAGACGGTGTTCTGGTGGGTGCGAGAGAAGTTCTGGGGTGAGTTTGAGAGGCGAGCAGGTGCTGGAAAGCATGGCGGTGCTCTGAGTCATGATGGTGGCGACTCAGACCTGGCTTTGTAAATCTTGCCACAGTATTTGCGATCAGCCTGCCGGTCCCCTGGATAGCTGTGTGTCTCATTAGATTAATTGGCCTGGGCTTCAGATTACACTGAGGAACGTGATTCTTTCCTGTTGCTTTGGGACTAATTTCTAATGATTCCTTGAAAGGAACTGAACGATTGATCTCTGCAGGGATGAAGTTGTATCTCTAGTATTGTCATGTATTCCTGCAAGTCTAGCAGGCAGTCTCCTTTAATAGAGAGCTTCGCAACGCTAAGGCAGGGGCAGTGTGTGAATGAGTAGAGTATTACTTGTGTATGCTATCAGGCAACTCTAACCCTGGACTGCATGGTTAAGAGAGCAGCTAGCCTGCTAAGCGTGTGGCCAGTAAGTTGTTAACCTGACCGGCGTGAGGTAAAATAGTGTACGTCGTTCCAGGAGCAGTCTTAGAAGTGCTGCTTTGTATGGTAACTGCTGCCTGAGAGCTGGTGGCAGGATCGTGTCACCCCTGGGTTGCAGAAGAGGTGGTCTGCTTACTGGGGGTAGCTCCGGTTAAGAGAGCAGCTAGCCTGCTAAGCGTGTGGCCAGTAAGTTGTTAACCTGACCGGCGTGAGGTAAAATAGTGTACGTCGTTCCAGGAGCAGTCTTAGAAGTGCTGCTTTGTATGGTAACTGCTGCCTGAGAGCTGGTGGCAGGATCGTGTCACCCCTGGGTTGCAGAAGAGGTGGTCTGCTTACTGGGGGTAGCTCCGCTTAACCCCACAGGGTTGCTGCCTTAGCATCTAGGTTTACCTCCAGATTTGGAATGGAGCACAGGGGAGAAAGGAAAGGCATTCCCAGCATGCGGAAACAGCCCTTTCCCAAAGAGAGGGCCAGCAGATGTCGGTATGAACTCAGGAATAGAAACATGAGGCCTTTTGAATTAGTAATGCATATCTTCAGCCCCATCATACCCAAGTGCCAGAATGAATGGATGCTGCTCCCGTTCGGAACGGGGGGGAAGGGGAGGGCGGGAAATCAAATCACTTGTTTTGTGCTTTTTCAAAACGAAAGTTAAAACTACATTTAAAATGTCCTTTGGCTTTAAAAGTTTGTAATCGCTCTGGGTGGGGAGCGGGGAGGGTCGATTGTCGTTGCACTGCAAACTGGGATCTACAAGTTCAGGGAAAAAGGACTCAGGTTCTCAGGACAATGGACCAGTGAACGCTGGGCACATCGGAGTTGGGGGGATGTATTCAGCTTTGGACAAGGGGAGGGCAAAGCCCGTTCGGCAGCATGACCCTGTTCCCCAGCTGGCTCAGGAAGTCGCATTTCTGCAGAGGTGTTCCTCCTGACCAGACATCACCTTGCCTAGCAGCAACTTTAAAGGAGGAAGCTTATAAATACATTTTAAATAATATATATATATATTCCAGTGTGCCAAATATTTAAACTTTTAAAGTTTAAATGGTTGAAAATCTCAGCGTCCACCTGTATTAACTAATCAAGAGCATGTTAATGTTTAAAACCATTTTTGCTTTGTTTAGCCATAGAGAATCTGTAGGAAAGGAACTTTAATGAGACAACCAGCTGTTACCTGAGGTC